AGTGATGGCACTGGGAATATTGACTGAGACAGTGCAGGAGAGCCTCTGGCAGGCTAGAAATGTCCTATTTCTTTATCTGGTTGGTGGTTTCAAGGATGTCTACATATTTAGATTTTATCAAACTATACACTTAAAATAGGATCAATTCTTGAATGTAAGTTATGGACCAATAAAAAAAGTTTTAAATAAAGTGAATTTGCTTTAAAACAAACAAACAAAAAAAGCATGGTCTGTGAAATATGACAAATCTGGCTCCATATCCTGGCTCTGCCACTTATTTGTTGCATGACCTTGGACAAACTCACCAATGTGAGTCTCACTTTTTTCATTTGTACAATAGAAATAATTCCTTTCTCCTGCAGTGTTTTTTATGTTAAACGAGAGCATGTGTATCTAGCATTTTGCTTTGCACTTGGTAAGTGCTGGTATGTTGACTTCCTTTTCTCTTGTCCTGGTGGACTGGCCTCTCAGCTCCTGTGCATTGTCTTTGGGAGGCACCGGCTCTCAGGCTTAGTTATAGGAAAAGGAGACTGACCTCCCCATGGCCAAAAAGTAACCCAGCCTTCCCTGGATCAAATTACCAATGCACCTCTTCCTCAGATCCTTTGGAAACTCTTCTGGGAATGATTCCCTTATCTGTCCATCCATCCATCCATCCATCCTTCCAATCAACATTTATTGAATTGCTACTACGTGCCAGGCATCGTGATAGGTGCTGGGGAAACACTACTGAATAAAGAAAGCAGTCATGGTTCCTGTCTGTGGGGAGTTTACAATCTCATAGGGAAGACAGGCAGTAAACAAATAAATCCATAATTATTAATTGTGATAAAAAGCACTATAAAAAACAGGGAGCAGCGATGGACAGGTGAGAACTGGAGGTGGAAGAGCAGCCAGTCATTGGAAGATCAGAGAGAAAGCTCCTGCAGCATCCTATCATTGAAGTCTTAGAACATCCCAAATAATTACAGAGTAGACATAAAAGACATAATCACCACAAGAGAGAAACTTCTCACATGTGAACGCTTGTTGTAACATCAGTTCTGCTTCTCAGAAGAGTTTTTTGCATGCTTCCTCTTCCTTAGAAGTTAGACTGCCAGGTAAGCAGCTTTTCATTACAGTAATACAAACTCATTTGTGTAATGAGCTACAGAGATGGGGCATAAAGACAAATAAAAAATTAGAACAGGTAACCTGTTACTTAGGAGGTAGTGCATTATACTGAGAGGGACATGGGATTTGTTGTCTGAGCCCAAATGTTGTCTCCACTTCTAGCTGTCTGACCTCAAGCAGACTCTCTGAGCCTGAGTTTCCTTGTGTGAGAAACAAGAATAATAATGGCTTTCTCAAGGCAGGTGGCAAGAATTAAATGAAACGACATATACTTAGCATCTTGCACGAAAAAGTATTGCCATGCTTTATTGAGAACATTCCTGTCATTTTACTACAAAACTTAAATCCTCTGTACTTATGTAATCTCACTACAGACATGTCAATTTTTCAAAGCAGATACATTCCTTTCTCTTAAACTTCTTTTCTCAAACCTTGGCTATTGGTCTGGAATTCTCAGTTCTGTGCTAAATCTTAGTAGTTTTGGTGGTAAATCATTCCTGACTTTCCTAATTCCCCACCAAAACTAGCCTCAGGCAATCTAGGGCCACAGCAGGGAGTTGGGGAGACTAAGCTGAACGCTAAGTTTTGGGGTGAGGGCAGGGCTCCTGGTGCTGCTCGGGCTGCAGGGGAGCTTCCCCAGGGGCTCAGCCTGCCTTGCCATCTCGACTTTGATTCCTCATTCTTCCCCATTGTCCGTGGTTTCTCTGTCATCAGACCCCTGTGATGTTTCAGAGGAAGGGGGCGAAGGGAGGGATTGGAGAGGAGAGAAAGGCAGTCAGATGACTTTGCCCTCTGGTTGGTCCTCTGTCTTAGGGGTGGCTCAGAAGGGTCTGCAGTCTGCAGTTCTAGACTGAGCCCTGACCTCGGCTGGGACACTCACTCTCAGAGTCTCTTTTCTCATTTGTAAAATGGGACGATTCTAGCCTGCCATAGAGTAAGCTGAGGATGGTTGAGGATCAGACAAACCATTGCATGTGAAAGTTCTATATTCACTCGAAAATGCTGTCCAGACTTCCGGTGCCGTCCATGTTTGTCGCTCCCTTGCCACGTTCACATGCACAGCCAGCCGAAAAGCTTCTTAGACCTGCTCAGGACTGAGCTGCTCCAAGGGGATTTTTCTAGGTCAGTGAGTAATGGAAAGTGTCTCAAAGGTGTTGCCTATTTTTACTTTGTGCAATCTTCTCAGAGAGAGGCTGTTAATAGTGCAAAGAACTCAAGGCCTGGAAGATTAAAAGATAATTAAAGACTATACAAAACTAGCCTATTCTGATATGTTGTGCAATTTATTTGGGCAAATATGAAGGTGTTGTTGGCCTGGGTTCAGCTGAGTGAGGCTCACTGAAGTAATGGGAACTGATCAAATCTTTATGTCCGCAATTTCCTGTTCTTAGCAAGTGGAGGAAATAGACACCCTGGGTGAGAGACAGGAAGAAATAAAGACGAATGATTCTATGTCTACGCAGTTTCTCTCAAGAACACCAAGATAATCATCTGTGAAGTGCTCAAAGACTTCGTATTCTAAAAGCTGCCCCCCAAAGTTAGCCTTGCAAGAAGTAGGTCATCATTGATCATTATGTGTATCTGGTTTTTGATTCCTCGACCTGTTTTCAAGGTGGGGTGTTCTGATTTCTGCTTTCCTGTTGACTTTTCCTATAAACAAACCTTTCCTCTGAGAAGTTAGCTATGGAAATAGCCAGATCCAAGAACCCGTAAACTCAAACCTGGACAATCAAAGAGGAAAGAGCTTCGGGTTCCTTCCCTTGTATGTTTTCCCTAAATTATTTCAAGACATTACTTCAAAAGGTGCTGAATCTGAGGCAGTATTTCAGTAGGAGGAGATGCTTTTTCTAGTGAAAATTAAAGTCCCTAATAATTTGAGTGAGCATGAAATGGAAAGATCTGTAGGGCCTAACTGGGCCTCATGCTTTTTGTTTTTGAAATCCAGCAAGAAAAGTGAACAAAATAAAAATATTTTTAAGTTTTCTTGCAGAATTGTAAAAGGCAGAAACATTCCAGGACCAAGGAGCTCAAATAGAAAACCTTATATTTTATATATCACATTAAATAATAGCAAAGTCACCTAATAGGAACCAGTTCCAAAATCCTTTCTGGATAATTTGGTACCTTTGAAATCTAGTGTGCTTTTCTTGCCTTTCTTCAGCACTCTATAAAACAGGATACTCTCGAATGTGTTAGAACATTTCTGTTTTGATTGGCTCAGAATGGCTGGAGGTCCTTGAAATAATTCATAATGAACTAAGCACATGGCATGGCGTCATAAGTCATTCTCTTCAGAGCCTCTTGCCCGTTTCATAGAAATTGCATAACTGGGAAGTAACACATGAAAATCTTACACTCCGCTGGTTAAAAGTTGGATCACAATTCCAAATTTAGGTAGAAGTTTAGAGCTAGCGTAGAAGGCCAACTTTTATTTTTTATCTTTCAAAATGTTAAACATTTTCATTTATTTTTGTAGTTGCTTGTTTTTTATAGCAGATAAAGCAAAGGGTCAGTTTATTTTGCTTTTTCTTTCTTTAACTGACCTTGGTTTACTTGTGGAATGTCAGAAAGGCTGATGTAAAAAAGGTCAAGATACAGGACGACAGAAGTGAACTAAGAAATCGATTTTTGGTAGGAACAGTCAGAGTTATTAACTGCAAGCAATTAAGCACCTCTGCATGATTGAAGCTGAAGAGGAACGTTATTTAAAGGCTATCATGCAGCTCATAGAACAGAGATCCAGGGTCAGGACAAGATAAGCAGGGACAATATCCAAAGTCATGTCTGTGGATTGCTGAGGTGAAGGCACTACTGCTGCCAGAACATAGGATCGTAGGCTGCAATTTGTGCTGTCATCCCAACTAACAGTGACAAACAGTGTGCCATTGGAACTACTGCTTCCAGGACCTGATCTCCCTGCCACTTCTGCTTCTGTCGTAGACTTGCTCCTGGTCCCAGCCTCACCTGCTACCAATGCTAAGGCTCAAGTGCGTTCCAGTGGTTGATAGGACTCACGGTAACCGCTCCTGCCCTACCGCCAGGGAGGCTGCGAATGTGAGTATTTGGCTCTTTTACTTCCATAGACTCAAAAGGTGAGGACCATAGAGTGACAAATGTTCCCCAAGCTGAAAAAGGAAGTGGATCGTTATAATTAAAACAGTAATTCTCACTCTTTCTAATTCTCAAACTGCCTACACTCAAAAATTACTAAGGACCTCAAAAAAGAGTTTTTGCTTATGCAGGTTGTCTCTTATCAATATTTCCCATATTAGAAATTAAGAGAGGAATTTTTTAAAAAATTGTTAATTTATTTGAAATAACAATTACATGGTAACAATAGCAACAATTGCATGTTAACATAAATAACATGGTTTATGAAAAATAGCTAGATTATCCCCCACAAAAGAAAATAAGAAGGGTGATACTGTTTTATATGTTTGCTGTCTCTCTAATTTCTGGCTTAATGGAAAGCCATTAAGTTGGTTTCTCCCATCTGCTTCTACGTTAATCTGTTGTAACATCACACACTCTGTAGTCTCTGGAAAACTGAATCACACGCTTGTGAAAAGGGTGAATATCATCTTAGTATTATTATCAAAATCATTTCCATGTTGAGGACTCCCTAAAAAGGCATTAGGGTCTACCAACCACAGCTTAAGAATTGCTGGATGAAAGATTTACTCTGTGATTGAAGTTAGATGATATATATTATGTTGAAACACACAATTCTTTGGATCCCCTTTACATCCTGTCATATATATTTTTATCCAAGACTTGGAAATTTTGCTCCAAGCTTGACAGGACTGAGCCTGCATCAAATTACTATTATAATTATGTTTTTAATAGACTGCAAAAATAAGAGCTGGACTGTATTTTGGTTATCTTATGGAGTTTTGTCCTCTCCTGTGATCTCAAAGGTTATTTCCAACTCTAATTTCTGATTCTATAGTTCCCTAAATTTGGATATTGTAAGCAATGACAGACTCATTCACTTTTTATTTTAGAATGGTTTAGATTTACAGAATCACTGCAAAGATAGTATGTAGAATATTCCACAGCCAGTTTCCCCCATGAGTACTTTATATTAGTAGAGAACATTTGTCATAATTAGTGATTGATATTAATTCATTATTGTTAACTAAATTCATAGTTTATTCAGATTTCCTTTGCTCTGGCTTCATGTAATGTTTCTGCTCCAGGATCCCATCCAGGACACCATGTTATGTTTGGTCATCATGTCACCTTAGGCCACTTGGTTGTGACAGTTTCTCAGACTCCCCTCGTTTTTGATGACTTTGACAGTTTTGTGAAGCACAGGTCAGGTATTTTGTAGGATGTCTCTCAGCTGGGATTTGTCTGATGTTCTTGTCATGGTTGCACTGGAGTTACAGGTTCTTGGGAGGAGGAACATAGAAGCAAAGAATCATTCTCATTACATCATATTATGGGTACAGGTTATCAAAATGACTTATGACTATTGTCGTTAACCTTGATAACCTGGCTTGAGGTAATGTTTGTCCAGCTCTTCACTGTTAAGTTACTCTTTTTTGTTCTCCATTTCCATATACTGTGCTGTTTGGAAGAAAGTCACTCTGCATAACCCACACTTAAGGAATGAGGAATTATGCTCCACCAACTTGAGGGTGAAGTGACTACATAAATTATTCATGATTCTTCTGCATGGGGGATCTGTCTATTCTTTCCCATTCATTTATTCAGCCATTTATTTATATCTGTATGATACTCATGGATATTTATTTTATACTTTGGATTATAATCTAGGACCACTTTATTTATTTATTACATAGCTCAAATTCTCCCAGCTTTGGCCACTGGGAACTCTTTCATTTGGCTCCCGAATCCCTTTGACGTACCCCCATCATTGTGTGCTGGTTTTGTTTGTTTGTACTCCATTCTTTCTGACACTACACAATGTTCTAGGCTCTTCTGTATGTTTCCTGCCTCAGTTCTAAAAGCATCAATTTTCCCTAGGAGCTTCGTTTTCTTTTACTAGACAAGAGGTATGAGAAACCAGGACCTGAGTGATAGATGTGCTTATTGTTCCTGGGGTGTCATTGCTTTTACCTGCTCTCCACTGATGGAGCAAGGAGCTATGAGTGTATATTAGCCCACGTACACACAAATATCTATAAATGAACATCTGTATACATCTATAGATCTATATGTAAACATCTGCTTCTATATTAAGCTACACGTTAGCTCATACCAATGTTTCTTCCTCTAATCCATTGTCACATGGCTCATTCTACCCCCTCCTCTTGCATATGTTATCTATTTGTAAAGTTATTTTAATAGAGAAGAAATTTTGGAATGGTAGGTATGAGAGGAAACAAAAGGATGAAAGGAGCAGGGACTCCAGGAACTAAGATGGGTTAAACACTCAAGAACCTGTACCCTGTTGATCCTAGTTGCAGTTATTAAATAACTACAGTAAAAAAGACTTATAGAGAGTAAGCTTGAATTTGGCTCCACTGGTTATTATTCCATGGTAACTCAGGTTACAGTGAGGAAGTATATAACTTCCTGTCTCTTAAGTTTTCTTACCTTCAAAGCAGGAAAATACAGCTCTTTACTCACAGGAGTATAAGGATTAAATGAGTTAACACCAACAGCACATTTAGAACAGTGCCAGACTCAGTACTTACGAGCTATTGTTACTATGTACTCTATGGGGTAAGTACATTATTACTTATATTTTACAAATGGAAAAACAGGCATTGGGATATTATACCCTGCTCAAGTTCTCACATCTAGTAAATTACAGGCCCTCTCTCATAATCTATGCCCTTTAAAGGGTTTCTGAACAGCTCTATACTTATATCTCTCTCTGTTAAATGAAGCTATAAAATGCTACTCTATAAATCTAAAGGTAAGGCTAACTACTGAAAAGAGTCAAGGATGCTTTAAATATTCTCACTGTCCCTAACTCTAATCCATCTCCACATGAATCATTCTGGTCCCCTCGTCCTCCATTTGCTGTGTACTCAGTGATCATCATTCGTATTATCATTTCCCTCATTACCAGTACTTTCACTCCGTGAAATGACTCAGCTAGTGGAGTAGGTTGGCCTTCTCAGTGTTCATGCTGTCACCTTAAGCCAGTTGAGGCAAAGGTCACTCCCAAGAAGGGAGTTAAAATTACCTCTGCCTTATCTATGCCTGTGACTACTTGTTGTAAGAAGACTCACTTAGTTAAAGGTTCCTGGAAGCTTCACTATTTCTTACCTGCCCTGTGCTCTGGGGAATGTGACTCCAGGCCATGATTCACGGACTATGCAGTTGGTAAGTGGAAAGGGAGGAACTTTGTGGGGGAGAACTAGTAGACATTTATCTACTCAAATCAAATAAATGACAATTTTACACCCTGTATTTATTTATTTGCTCCACTCCATATCTACTCCCCTTTAAACACCAGTGACTCTAATTCCTTTATCACACATAGCCCTGGATGTCACTATTTGTTGATCTTACAGCTTCGTTTTGAACCTGGGTGCCTCTGTCGGGTAGATTCTAAAGGGTGAAGCGGCCATATCCCTCCTGCCTCTCCTTATCACCACATTTCCCCCCAATTATCTCCCTTAGCATCAATCATAAGATTTGAGGGAAATCATAAGTATCTTACAAAGTCATTTGACAAATACTTACTTAGGACCTACTACGTCTCAAGCATTTCACTAGTCACAAGGTACGGTACTGAGCCCCATATACACAGTACACCTCAGGGAGCCTGCAGACCACGGGAAAATAACACCAGCTAGTCCAAAGCGAAGGTTTAGTCTTGCCAGGCACCGGGCTCTGTATGCACTGTCACATTGAAATCTCATGGAGGTAGTCCTTATCGTCCCCATTCTACAGATGAGGAAACAGGATTGCCCAGAGTCACACAACCAAAAATGGTAGAACTGGGGCTTGAATGCAGGTCTGTCCAATGCCACACACTTAACCACACATACATCCTCTCTCTCTCTACACACACACACACATGCGTGCGCACACCTCTCAGGAAGCAGAATCTCAGAGCTTGATGTTTTTGTGGCTGGAGGATGGTCGCTCTTCTCTTTGCTGCCATTTCTACTGAATAATTTGATTTGCAAATATAAAGGATTCTCTGAAGCAAAACCTTAAACAAATTGTGGCAGACAGCTGGGAGAGGACAGCTGCAGACAGAAAAATGTGGCCGGATGCTCTGGGGGTGGGTGGGATGGATGTGCAGTGAGGCAGCTCCAAGGAGAGGAAGCGGTGACAGGTGGAGGTAAGAGGGACTGACAGATAAAACTACCTGGACCCCCAAACCACAGGAAAGGAGGCCTTAAATAGTCTAGAATGCACTGTCTTTATCAGATTATGCAAATACAGCTAGGATATAAGTATGTTTTTCTTTGCCTATGTCATCCAAGTGACTATTCAAATAAATTTAAAAATCATTTTTCCCCCCTGAAGTATGTCTGACCTCGGGATTGAAACTCAGGAGACCTAAATTCTTGTCCAGATATGCACCAGTGGTTCACTTGTGTGAGCTTCTGCAAGTTCTTTCTTCCCATCCTAAGTTTTCTTTCTCCTGAAATAAGGGAATTGGGCTACCGAAGCTGAAGGATTTTTGAAGTTCCAAGCAGCTCTGGAGCCATGATTTACCAAGCACCTACACTGTGTCTAGTACTGCATTTAACAGTTTAAAGTTTAGAGGCAATTAGAGGGCACATTTCTAGCCCTTTGGACCTGTGCTGTCCAGTACGGTAGCCACAACCACATGTGGATATGAAGTGTGACTGAACTATAATTTTATTTCATTTTGGTTAAATAAACTGATACCATATTCAGTTATTGAGAACTTTGATATTTGAAACAATGTAGTGGTGTGAATCTCTTTTTTTAAATGATAACTTTTGTGCAATCTAAATATAGATCAAGTGGTTTCTGATGAAAATTTAGCATCTGAATTGAAGTGTGTTTTAAATGTAAAATATGACAGATTTAAGACAATACGAAAAAAGGATGTAAATATCTCATTAATAATTTCTTATTGATTACACGTT